AAATATTTGCAAAATCTTCAAAGGAAAACTTTGGAAGGAATACTTTACTAATTATAGGAGATTATATGGAGCCCCTCCCACAAAATCACAAGGTGTCCAGGCAAATTTGGGAAATTTTGATGTACTATTTTACACATACCAAGCTAGCAAGAACTTTAAGAATTTAGCATACTCTCCTGCCACTGATATAGCAGATTGGCCTAACTCTTTGGGAAAATGATACAATATGTATGAGAAACCAGAAAGATGTTCCATAATCCAACTCCTGGAAATTTATCCTAAAGCAATATATGAAAAGAAGAACACAGCTTAGACAACTTGAGCATCTTTGTTGTTCTAGTAGTAAGAATACCCCTTCTCTGCTAGTCCAGTTCCTTTCCATCACCCTTTCAGGATGGGGTGGTGTCCCCTCTGGGCTTACGGTGTCTTGGAGGCTTTGCCAGGAGTTGCCTTCAGAGGCACTTGTAATGTCCTGAGTCTCAGGCAAGACCAGTGAGTCAGAGCTGTGGACGCAGGGACACAAGGCTTCCCCTCAGAGACAAACTGGGTGTTCGACTCTGCTCCTCCAAGTGCTTCCTCTCTTGACTGTCCTCTCCTGGGCACTTACCAGTATGGGTTTATTCAGAGGCTCCATCTGGTCCTTGCCCTCCTTCTTCCACTCTAGTTCTCACCTGTACCACCTGCAGGCTCCTTGACCATGAGGCCATGGTTCTCCTTGTTAAATCCCTAAAAGCATTCTGCAGTTTTCAGGAACAGTAATTGCTGATTAAACCAGAGTTCAAAACCTTAGCGACCAAAGCAGTCCAAATCAAACCAAGCAATCCAACAGAACAGTTTTTCTTTCCAGTCACAGAGGTGCCCTAGGAGATAGGTGTTCAGGAGTACAATGTAAGATCATTCCACAAAAAAGAAAAAGGAATTTTAGTTATCTCTATGTATGAAAGCAAAAAGCTAAAAACAAAGATTGGAAGAACAATACAGCCAAAATCTTTAGAAAGGGAGAAAACCTCCAGTAGGAGGTTGATGAATAAATCAGATGTTTTTGTTCACATATATGAAATATTATTTACCCTCTTGCATATTTCTAAGTTAACATTTAAATTTTTTTGTCTTATTTTAAGCAGTTCCAAAGGATGAAATTTCCTGCATATTGTAAAAATGACATCTTAAAGTCACTCTTTTGTACTTTAAAATGTCATTTTTCCAATATGCAGGAAATTGCGGGCTTCCCTGGTGCTCACTGGTGAAGAACCCGCCCAGTCATGCAGACCTCATGGTTCCATCCCTGTGTCAGAAAGATCCCCTGGATCCTGGCAACCTACTCCAGTGTTCTTGCCTGGAAAATCCCATGGACAGAGGACCCTGGCAGGCTACAGTGCACAGGTTGAATACAAGTAGACACAACTTAGTGACTAAACAACACAGCAAGTAACTCAAATGAATCCAATGAAATCTAGTTGCAATTATGCCTGTTATCAGCCATTTATAAAACATATGAACTCTTTTACCTTCAGTACATTTTATGTAATTTATTTTTCTTTTCACACTTATAACTCCATTCCACATCCTCATCCCTCAAGAGTTTATCCTAATTTAATGTATTTTTGTTTGTATTTTATTGATCATCCTATTATATTTCTCTTCATTGAAAATATATTTTAATTTTAAATTTCCATTTTCTGATTGAAAATTATTATATTTACTAGTAATGATTAGGTGTTCCAATAATACAAAATATATTATAAATGTTTATGATTACTAAACATGTAACTTTTTACAATTAGTACACACAATTGTTGTTAAATACTGCATCTTATAAGAATGAGATAAGAGTTTAGCATCAAATGTTTTTCTCAATTTTTAATTTTTACTAGTCCTAAGAAAATGTTTTTACAAGTGTTGATATGTTATCATATCAATGTCACTCAATTCTTTGAACTACTTCTAATTTATAAAGTCACTTAGTGATCTTAAGGTCATACTTTGCTGTAAGCAATTACTTGCTCTGCAAATCAATCACCTGGCTTGCAAAAAAATTTGTTATCCAGTCATTAGAAGTATACTCTTAGTACAGTCCAATATTTTAAATTGATTAATAACTGACAGAGGTTGCCTGAGGTTTTTACATTTTGGAACAATGCACCATTTTAAGATTCTCAGTGAGTGAAAGTTATGTCCTTTCTTTTTGAAATTTGGGAAATATAGGGCTATTATGGAAGGGAACAGGGAGACACCTTACTGCATTCCTTTACCAGCAGATCAATTTTAGGAAATCCTATAGATGCAAATTGAAGATTTCTGAAACTGGTGGCCTTAAAACTAAGTGTACACCTATCCCTTGAACATCTCCTGGGGGATGCACATGTGAGACTGAAGACCACTGATGTCAATTTTTACATCATCTTATTGAATTTGATAAGAAAGATATGTCAGCTCAGGTTAGGCCTTGACTGGGAAACTGTACTCTGGTGTTTACTCTTTGGGAGCATAGAACTGTGGCCTGTAACACTAGGGATAAAACAGCAAATCCCTCTTGATTGTTTGAATTTTTATTGATAGCCGCTCTCATCCTTTCTACTCCGTCCTGTATTTTTTTCTCAGTGGTATTAACTTTTAACTTCAATTGTGGGGTAGTGATGTTGAGTTTACATGCTGACGGCCTGAGGCAAATATAATGCTCCGCTTAAAAATGATTATTAAGATCATAAAAACTAAATCTTTACAGTGTATTAAAAGGGAAAAAGCAAAATTTGTAGTTGCACGAAAATTATTATTTCAGTTCTACGAAGCTACATAAACTTCTGAATAATAAATCAATATGCAAAAATGAAGTTGTGATTTTTTAAAATGTCTTTAGTGTTACATTACTTTTAAAGTGATAATGCTGATAACATATATGATACTGAGGGGGTCAGATAATCTAATACTCTCTTTTTCTCAGCGGTATCAAGAAACTGAGTTTAAGTTCCCCAGGAGATTGAAAACTATTGTTTTTTTCAAAACTATTTTCTCATCATGATTCACTATGCATGTTCTTCTCCAAACACATTTAAACTCTTCCTCAATCGAGTTTAATACATCCGACGTGTTAACGTCACGAATCGAAGTAGCAATTCTCATCCACATTAACTTTTTAGCCTCCTCTCATTTCCTGGTTTTATTGCTTAGAGTCAAGAATTCGACCATGTCGACTTACAATGGTCTCATTTTATCATTCCTTGAATCTTTATAGTTTTAAGGGTTTGTATTTTTAAAAAATAAGTTTGACACCCGCTAAAAGGAATCTTTTTCTCAAGTTTGTATCCTGCGTTGTTCTTGTTTGGCTTTTTCGAACCTTCCCAACGAGCTCGGTATATTCCAGGGCCCACCAAAGGAATAAGCCTTAGAAGAGGCTAGTTTGAGACAGTTTATGTCTGTGAAAAAAGAATATAACGACTACCACCCCTCCGGGGGTTACGGCCGTGGGACTCCAAGGCCCCCGAAACGAGCACCCAGAAAAGCGGAGCGCGGAGAAGCCCGCGAGATCTCAGCTGCGTGTCCGCCAACCTCCGGCCGCCGCCGCCTACGTGGCCACGCCCCCTTCCGGACGGCCCCGCCCCGCCCCGCCCCTAGGCAGTTGCTCGCAGCGGCCGCCGCCTTCCCCCGGCCCAATGGCTAGGCTGCCGCGTCAATGATGTGAAGCCGTGCTCTGGCTTGTCCGGCCCCCGGCCCTCAGCCCCATTACAGCATCCGCCGCGGCAGCCGAGGCAGCCTCTGCCACCCGCGTAGCCTGGGAGGGCGGGAGGCGGCTCGGCGTGGCGGGGCGGGGCGAGCGGCGCGGCCGGATTCATTCCTGTGGGGCGCGGGGCATGGCGGAGCGGGGCGGCCGCAGGCGGAGCGGGGCGGCCCGGACGGCGGCGCGGACAACGGTTTCACTTTGAAGGGACGGCCGGCGGCGGCGGGAGGACTAGCCCCCGGGCAGGTAGTGGCGGTGGCGGCGGTGGCCTGGCGGAGCCCAGGCTGCGGCCTGAGGGACCTGAGGGGAGGCCTGGGCGGGAAGGGGAAGGAGGGCGCCCCCAGCCGCGGAATGCGGGAGGCGGGCTGGAGGCCCCGGGCTGGGCGGCCCGCCGGGAGCGGGTCGAGGATCTTGGGGGGTGGGGGGAGACTGCCTGTGTCTGGAAATGGTACAGGTGAAGGTTATGTAGGGGCGATCGTGGTTTGGGGAACTTAAGGATCCCTTGGCGGGGAGGATCAAAACGGGGCGAATGAAGTTAGCTCAAAGGCAGCCGGATTTCCTGAGTCTCGAGTAGTTTTAAAGGGAGGAGAACCTTTCGGGTGAGGGTTTTGGCGTTAGCTGGCCGCAGTTCGTTGGGTCCGACCTTTTTTTTGTTCCTTCTTGAAAGCCCTCCAGGCGACAACAGGGCCTTCCAGCCGCGCGCCCTTGGCCCGCTCTGCTCTGCAGATGTGAGAAAGGGAAACATTTCTGCACCCGCGCCTCCTGCCTCTGTCGGTTGTACTCCTTGGGCGTGTGCAGAGCAAAAACTAGAACAAAGCTTGGCTGCTTAGGAGGCGAGAAAACCGGTTGCCTGTCGTGTTTAGATTTACCGTATATAGAGAAGAGACTGCTTCCCACCAAAACATTTGGGTCTCTGTGTATCTTTTTCTATTCTCCTTTCCCACCTTTTTCGGGGCCGGGGGCGGGGGCGTGCGGAGTAGTCCCTAAAGAAAGTATGGCTCCCTTTCTCAGGAGTAGAAATTAAGAAAACCTACTGTTTTCGCCTTTACCTGTGGAAAATTCAGAACTGCTACTTTTTTTTTTTTCCTTTTTCTAGTTTGGTGCTCTGGTTGTCGGATGTTGGAAGGCAGTAGACAGAACATACTCTCCGTGGTTTTATATCCATTCTGGGATGCAGTGATTAACACTGAACTTTGGTTCCTCTAACTCTTGCCTGGGTCGATAGAGTTAAGCTGCAGGTTTGCTTCGAAGGATAAATAAAGCACAGCCTCTCAACTGGACATAAATGGATCTAAAGACAGCAGTATTTAACGCAGCTCGAGATGGCAAACTCCGGCTTCTCACCAAATTGTTGGCAAGCAAATCCAAAGAGGAGGTTTCCTCCTTGATCTCTGAAAAAACAAATGGGGCCACGCCACTCTTGATGGCCGCCAGGTATGGGCATCTTGACATGGTGGAATTCCTTCTAGAGCAGTGCAGTGCCTCCATAGAAGTCGGGGGCTCTGTCAATTTTGATGGGGAAACCATTGAGGGGGCTCCGCCTTTGTGGGCCGCTTCTGCAGCAGGACATCTGAAGGTGGTTCAGTCTTTGTTAAATCACGGAGCGTCTGTCAACAACACGACTTTAACCAATTCAACGCCTCTTCGAGCTGCCTGTTTCGATGGCCATTTGGAAATAGTCAAGTACCTGGTAGAACACAAAGCTGATTTGGAAGTGTCAAACCGACATGGGCATACGTGCTTGATGATCTCATGTTACAAAGGACACAAAGAGATTGCTCAGTATTTACTTGAAAAGGGGGCCGATGTCAATAGGAAAAGTGTTAAAGGTGAGTTCATCTTCATTTTTTTTAAGTGTTTGCCACTTATTTTCAGGAAGTGTGATGCATAATTTTAAGCAGTGGTGTTGAGTAAGCCAAAATTGACAGACCTGTTTTGATTAGGTGTCCATTCCTAAAAAAGACCTCTATCACTGTGTTAAGCAGCATTTTCTCTTTTTATTTGGAGTGACTTCCAATTCTTGAAAAGTGGGTTCCCCAAAGTTTAGAGCATGTTAGTGGCAGTTGATCTGAGCCATTAGACTTGTGTTTCCTTAAGAATATACTTTGATGTGATGCATTATTCTAGGTTTTATTTTTTTAGAACACCCTTGGAGTAGAAACTACTATATTTAGTGAGTCATTGTTTTGTTTATCTTAGGTAGGCATTTCATTTGTTATTCCATCAGAGAAGACCAGGCCATACTACTTGGAAGGATTAATATCATTGAAAAAGAGAAAATCTGTTTCCTTATTCCCTACTTACTGTGTGGCCAATAGAAAATCCTTTCATTAAATATAGCAAGAGGGAAGGCAGATTTTTTTAAACTGCTACAGTGCTGAGAGCAAAACAAGGACTAGCTTAAGCAGATGTGGATTTGTTGACTAGCAACAGTGTAAATATCTTTGTCCAGAAGAGGAGCTCAGGTTTATGGTTGTATATACTTTTTTAGGATATTTATTTAACTGTTAAAAACAACTGCTGTGATAGTATAATATTGATACTTAACATTATTTTCCTTACACATGTTTGTTTTTATACAAAGGAAAGTAATTCACTGTCTAATACTAAAAAACTATAAAATTTAAAGGAGCATACATACATGATAAAAAAGAATCATACAATACAAATGGGTTTATAGTGTTTGCTATGAAAAGTAAGTCTTACTACCTTTCATTTCTAGACTTCCAACCATTATTTACAGTGTTTCGTGTGTCCTCAAGATAGTCTGTGCAAATACAAGTATATTTGTCTGTATATCTCTCTTCCTACTTTGTTACTTGGTATATACTGTTCTTTCTTTTCTTTTTAAAATTTATCTTGGATATCATTCAACTCCACACACATAACTACCTCATTCTGTTTCATGGCTACACAGTGTTTCATTGTATGAGTGTGCATAATTTATCTAGTCCCTGTTGATGGGCAGTTAGGTCACATCCAGAATAAACAGTGCTGCTATGAATATTCTTGAACAAATGTGTGTCTTTGCACACTTCTGTGAAAACAGCTCTATTGTAAATACCTATCAGTGGATTTGCAAAATTAAAGTGAATGCTCGCTTGTCATTGTGTTAGTGACTGATTGCCTCTCAGAGCAGCTAAACCTCAAAATTACGGGGCTCTACAAAGTTACTGGAGATATTTACTGAAGCCAGTATAATCTTTTTTAAAAAGATATGTCATAAAAATGATACAGCCTCATTGTGATTTTTCAATAATTTTTTTTCCCAAGCAAGTATAAAAATCTCACAGAATTCCAGCACTTAGAGATAATCCTCCCAAAGACACTGAATTTTGCATTTAGAAATATGTATGCAATTTTATTTTATATGCTCTTCTGTACCTATTTTTTAGCTTAATAAATGTTATCCTTAATGTCATTAATTATAGCTCTTTAATTTCAATAGCTGCTTACTCTTCTGCTGATGGAGTTTTACATTGCTTTGCTTCTGGCTTCTCACTGAGAAATGTTTCTGTAAACATTCTTTCTTGTAAATTCATTGTTCCTGATTATCTTTGAGGTAGGTATTGAGTCAAAGGACAGCATGACTTTTTTTTTTCTGAAACAGTCACCATTCTTTTAAAGAATGATTGTTTTGAAAGAACAAATTACGCTTAATTGGCCATGTTAGTATTGGGAATGCTTTGAAATCATACCTAGAAGAGAATGGGTTAAAGGATATGGCTGCATGTTAGGCTTGTTGAATTTTTAGTTTGTTTTGGCTTTTTATTCATCAACCTAATGATGTACAGATTGTTGGTAAATTCATGTATTTAAATCAATTTGGAGCATATTTTAAACTCATGTCACTGGAGGGATGAATACTGGTACTATTTCCCTTCTGTTTTTCGAAATTTTTTATACTTTTAAAGATATAATGTTTGGGAGAACTGTACTGTAAATAGCCCATATTTTAGTGAGCATTTCTCCTTAGTAAACTGAACAACATTTAACTTGATTACCTTTGGTATTTAAGAAGACTGTTCCTTTAAGCACAATCATCATACAGTTTTGTACTTGAAGATGTATATGCTCCCTCTTGGTTAATTCTAGAGTTTTTTTTTAATATACTTTTTTTTAAAGTACATATAATTTTTTAATACCAAAAATTGTTTTATATAGTTTTAATTTTATATACACATATATAGAAACAAACACATATGTATTATTATACATATATATAATATATCATTTTGTGTGCAGTATTTGAATTTTTGTATGGTGCCTTTAAATTTGACAGTGAGTCTTAATTAATGAATTTTGGGTGCAGATTAAAGTACATTTGTACCTCCCCCACTCTGATCCTGAAGTTTCCATTCTTTGATAATTACTCTCTCATCTACTATTCAGATTGTTTCATTTTTTAATTTTATGGGTTTGGGGTAATAGAAAAACAGGAACCAGTTGAAACTGAGGCAGAAACACTGTACAAGGATCTGGTAGAACATCAAGAAAGGATTTTTTCCCCCACGTTTTTTATCCTCTTCCAAAAAATGGGAAAAACTGGTAAGACTAGGGGTAAAATAATTTCTTAGGAATTTTATTTTATATTTCAGCTGTTGGAAATGGTTCTGGAGAAAGAAAATGCCAGTAGATTATGCTTGGTCTGCTAAAATGTAAAATTCATGTGACTTCTACCTTCCATTACTTTTTAACAGGCAGTTGGTATTGGAATATATTAGTTAGCCTCTTTCCATTACTTTTTAACAGGCTGTTGATGTTTTGAACATGTTTTAACCTAAGGTGGAATTGATTCATTAATTGAGAGTATTTATTGAGTTCCTTGAGTGTGCCAGGCTGTTAGGAAAGAAATGGCAACACATTCCAGTATTCTTACCTGGAAAATCCCATGGACAGAGGAGCCTGGTGGGCTACAGTCCGTGGGGTTGCAAGAGTCGGACATGACTTAGCGACTAAACCACCAGCTTACAAAGATGAGTAAGACAAGATTCAGGCCTTGATTCCCTGCTCTTGAGGAGCTCATGGTTTGATTGGAGAGACAGGTTCATAAGCAGATACTTAAACCACAATATGGTAAGTGCAACAGTAGTGTTTTTTTGTCTTAGATTTTTGGAAATACTTTATCCCCAACTAACTCATTATCTGAGGGGACAGTGGGTTCTCATGGCATTCAAAAAGAGGAGAAAAGCTGAGATATTTTAAGTGCTTCTCCACTTTAACACAGCAGTTGATTTTTGAGACAGGAAAGTTGGTTGCTGTTTAAACAGGGTCCCTAAATGAGACGTGATTAGACAAGCCCATCTTAGAGCCATCCACATTTATCTCAGTACTTTATAGTTATAGTCATTTTTTACTTTAATTGGTCCTTTTTTATTTGAGTTTTTTGTTTTTGTTTTTTTGTTCTGTTTTTATTTGAGGTTTTTTTGTTTGTTTTCAAATGCCAAAAACAAACAAAAGGCTTAAAGTAGGACTTTGCAGATCTATGGGAAACTTAAGTCCTTAATTCAGCTGGAAATTGAGCAGCTGAAAGTGATTGAGTGCTAGAGACCTATAGAAGGGCTCTGAGTTGGAATTGGGGACACTAGCCCCAGAGGACACACTATCCTTAGGCATGGGTTGATCACTTTTAATTATCCAGGGTAATTAAATAAATTGGTAATCAGATAATTCCTGTGCATTTTCTGTCAGCAAGGTATTGTGTCAAGACATTGTGGAAGCTTTGAAAAGATAGAGCACATCACATGTGTTCCCTGTTAAAGGAATAGTATAAATTCATTCTATAGGATTTTGGAAGAGTAAACTGACTGGAAAGGCTTCACGGAGAAGTTATCTGGGCTTTAAAAGGATTGCTGGAGTTCAGGTCTGCAGAAGGGATTTGATTCAGTTTTTAAGCCTTAAGGAATGACATAAGGAAAGGCGCATTGAGAAATATGCTTGGAGGGTACAGAAATTGGAAAGTAGGCATATTTGGACCAGTGGGCACTCAGGGCTAAACTTTATAGGACATTGACTTCCAGGTAAAGGACTTTGATTTTCTTCTTTATGCAGTGGTAAGCCGGTGAATGTTTCCAATAAGGAATGACTGAGTTTTTTTTTTCAAAGAGAACCCTATCTTACAACATTCTAATTCTATTCCATTGTGAGCTCTTTGAGGTTAGAGACCTGGTGTTTGTATCCATGTGTTAGAACGAGAAATCCCAAACACAGTGGGCATTTGGTCAATAAGCTTGTTGACTGAATGTGTTGCATTTAAGAGAGGAAAGCTCTCTGATGGCAAGGACTGTGTTTTCTAGTCATTTTAGTACAGAAATACATACATGAAGACATTGGGACAGTGATGTGAAAAATAAGTGGTACAGGTGGAACTCCATAGCAGTTCAGAAAACAGAAATTCATGTAGGCTCGTAAGTATAGACTAGGTTGGTGAAAAAGTAATTTTGGCTTCAGACCATGAATTTTAAATCATTATAACTAGGCTCAAACACATCCTTATTAATCAAAATAGGAACCATTACAGTCAACACATTTTGGCCAACAAGTTTGTTTATTCCTTAGCATAAACATTTGTGCTTCAGGATTCAGTGAACTCTTGGAAAACATTTTCTGCCTCCTTGTTGTGGAAGCATTTTTCCTGCAAAAAGTTGTGATGCTTGAAGACATGGTAGTCAATTGGTCAGGTGAATATGGCAGATGAGACAAAACTAAGTAGTCCAGTTTGTTCAACTTTTGAAGCGTGGTTGTGTGACGTGCTGTTGGGCGTTGTTGTGGGGAAGAATTGGGCCCATTCTGTTGGCCAGTGCCAGCTGCAGGCATCACAGTTTTCTAT